TGCACAGCACTAATGCCTCTGCCTAGATGGCAATCATGTCAGTTCAGGCATCTGTTGCCCCCAGGTTGCCTCTGCACATCTGACAGCACATTAAAGAATCAAAAAGAGCAAGGAACAGCTGTCTCAGCTCAGCTGTACTCAGCTCCCTACTCTGCCCACATGTTTCAGAGGGCAGGGAGGGAGAGGAACACACAGTTGGGCAGTACAGAATGGTCCAAGCTGGCAATGGGAGGCAGGAGAAACTGGTAACCTGATAGTAGACTACAGGAGGCTTGCTAGAGAGCAGGAGAAAAGTCCCAAGTGTGGGAGGGAATCTTAGCAGAGAAGCAGATGGGATATTTGAACAAAGCATTGTAGTGACTCCATATGCACAAAGTTTGCAATTTGTGATACCAAAGGTTGGTGGGTATGCTTACAAGAGAGCTGCCCCATAAGCAGTTGAGCTGAATGCATACAGTATGTAGCATCCAGTGATAAACAAAGAATGCAGCTTAAATAAATCCAACCAATGCGGGTGACTACTTACTGAGTGCATAGAACCACACCTCCACATGCAGACACTCATTGGTTACCAGAGCTGTAGTTCCACTTTTGCTACAGTACCCAAAGCCAGAAAAAATGGCATTGATTGGACCATTTTGATTGTTGGAAGCCAAAGGTTCTCTCTTTAATTGAGGATAGCTATAACATACCAAGACTGTGATGCCAAGCATGATAGAAAAGTCATGGGGAGTACTGGAAAATGCCTCACTCTTGGGATCTATGGGGCATGCTAGAATATTTCAGGCTAGTCTTATTTTGTCCTCAGTCAATAGGGTAGAAAGAAAACCACAAAGCCATTTAATTAGAGCAAATAGTTGGCCTTAATTACCACTAAAGGTTAAGCCTAAGGCAAACACCAAATTTAATGTTAACTGGGAGGGAAGTGTCAACAGAGCAAACAGCAATATGGCAACCTAAGAAAGGAGGGCTGCCATACTGAATCCTGAGGCACCCTTCCTTCTGCTGATTGATTTCCCAAGCCTAGCTTCTTTCCCCCTGCTCCCACTATTTGAATTTTGGGAAGAAAGAAAAAAGATTTTTAAAACACAGTCTCCAATTAGATTCCTTACTTAGCTTTTCAGTCAGAAGCCCATAAAAATAACTGAAACTAAAAAGCACCAAAACAATGTAAGAAATAGTTAAACACCACTTGGGCTACTATGTTGTTGGACTAGAGAGAGTACAGTTATAGCTTCTAAATGGCACATTTTAGTCAATTCTCTGAAGGTATGTCTACACTTGCCCCCTAGTTCGAACTAGGGAGGCTAATGATGCATACCGAAGTTGCTAATGAAGCCTGGGATTTAAATATCGTGCAATGAGAAGTAACAGTTAATTCGAGGGAAGGCTTTTGGATCGGACTACCGCGTCTACACGTGGTGAGTTAATTCGGGCTACCAGCTTTTTAAAATGGCAACCGACCATGAATATACTAATCAAGTGTGGGATATTTAAATCCTGTGCTTCATTAGTAACTTCAGTATGCTTCATTTGCCTCCCTAGTTCGAACTAGGGGGCAAGTGTAGACATAACCTGAGTTCCCTAATATTGGGACTGGACTCATTGTGCTGTATTTGACCACATCCAAGACTCAGCCTGGATCCCTGGAAAGGAAAGTTAGTGGTTCTGACAGTAGAAATCTTCACATAGCCCAACCAGGCTGAAGAGAGAATACCAACACTTGGCTGTATCTTTAAAGTCTGTCATTCTTCTCAGTATAAACTTCTGTCTAGGAAGGCAAGTTTGTTTGTCATTATGTTTATGCAACTGGGATGGCAGGGGAGGGAAGGGTTTGGGGAGTGATATTATTCTGCTCCTCACAGCTTTATTCATTTGCTGAGTAAGAACAATGCCCCCACCTCCTTCTAAACTCAGGAATCCGAAGCATTTCTTACCCTATCCCCGTCCAAGAAAGGGGAGGAGGAAGAGGAGGTGTCTGAGATGCTGAGAAAGATTCTGAAATAATTGTAAAGCCACAGACCTATGAGACTGCAGTGGTGAGATGAGGATATGACAAACAGGCCTAAGCGTAGAGCATTTCTCACTGGCTGATTTGCTAGTAAAATAGGTATTACGCCGTAAACATCCACTATTCTTGTCTTATGTAGGCGCTACAGGATGTGTTCTAGAGATCTTCTAGTGAGTCTGGGTAAACCAGCATCTCACAGCCCATATCACACAATTACACTTGCTGAGTGATCCTTACTTCTGTTGGTCCTGTTGTGCAATGGCACTGGATGACAGCCTTGCAGGAGTGTGAAAGCCAGATATCAAATGCTGCACAGGAAGCAAATGGGCCAAGAGGAGTTGGAAATGAGACCGAGGGGGACAAACTGAGGTACAAAACAAGCACTGTGCTTGCTTTTAGAGACTACAATGATGGGCACAATAGAAACTTGAAGAGTAGATTAGATTGTAAGCACACTGAGACATTCTTGTTAGTATGTTAGATCAGGAATGTGGTTCCTCCCCCCCCCCCAACTTTACATCAAAGCATTTTGAAGAAATCCTGAGCTCCAAGAAGAGAGCCTAGGGGTCCTTAGACTTGACAACATTGCCCTCTGCCTGAGCTGGAGATACAGTCTTTCCTGATGCACTTCTGGAGAAGACAGAACCATGTTTCAACTGCGTTGTAACATAGTAACTAGGCCAGTCTGCTGGGGTGCAGAGGAAACACTCTAGACATGCTGAGTAACAGAGATTCTTTTGTTAATTGCATCCCACTCAAACTGAGAGCAGAGATGGTGGATGCATATGTTAGTCTGCTGCAGACTTTGCCACCAATGTATTAAGAAAATGACCACCGTTTTCTTCTTAAGAACCATGATGATGCGGTAGGAGTTTAGCAGATTATGAAAAAGAATCTGTCTGTTCAAGAGTGAGTGGATGGGGTGGGGCACGTTTGATAAGAGTTTACTATAGACTGGCATAGTAAACCAGGGATAGGGAGTGTGCTGCAATAAAGTTACAGAGCATCATGCACATTCCCTCTGGCCTTGTGGATAACAAACTAGGACAAGCAGTTGAATCCACAGCTTGTGTATAGCTTTGCATAGTGCTCCTGGCCCCCTGCCAGAACGCAAGTCAGCAGAACCAAAACTCAAGCTCAGGTGACCAGAAATCAAACCTACATCATTTAAATCTCTAACCTCTAAGACATGAAACCAGTCTTGTTTCTTGTTTTTATGTTCACAGTTCTCCTCTGTCAACAACTGAAGAGTTGAAGTCTGGTTCTTGTCCTGGAGAGGAGTGAAGAGGCATGGACATATAGGAAAGGGAAATTGTGTGCTATCTAATAGTTGATTGCTATTTCCCCAAAAGATCTGGCACTGAATGAATATAGTGCAGGGCACAGAGGAAAAGGACTAAACAAAAAAAGCCCATAATGCATGCAGCTGCTTCCACAGTGCTGTCTTTTCTGATGGTGTGTGTGAACTCAAGCTATAACTTGCACTGAAAGCCATTAGCACCATGGTCACCAATCTGTTGCAGGAGCAAGACCAGTTGATCGCAAAGCGTTCCAGCCCCCCAAGAAGGAGCCCGCGCTGACGCTATCTCCCGTGAAAATGGAGGTAGCGTTGGCTTCCTGCGGTGTGGAGGGGAAGTCCCATAGATGCGAGCCAGGGCCGGTGTCTCAGGAAGTGCATGGGCT